ATGACACTATAATTCGAAATGCTTATTTTTCCTAAGTTTCAAATATATAAAATTCAATTAATTTTAAATCACTAAAACCTGCAGGTATATTGCAATAACCGACCATATTTTGTGAGTTTCAAACAGTGTTCTTTTCCCTCCTTAGCAATAGAGCTTGGATTCTACTCTCATCAGCAAACTAGAATTGTATTGATAATTATTTGCAAAAAAATCCTGATTCACGTTTGCATTGACAACAAATGTTTAAAATGCAAAGGTATGTTTTATATTATGTTTGTGAGCAATGAGAGATTATTTTATTTCTGATAAATCTTTGAAACTGCACTTTTCTGACAGAATTCATTATTTAATTCATTGTTTACATTCTAGTTTTAAAATGGATAAAAGTTTTTCTTAATTTGTTTTCCTTTCTTTTTGCTCTATATTCATGCATTAGAATTCTTTGCGTGTATGTACCCTGGATCAAGCAGCACTTGCATTATACAGGAGATTCCACCCAACATCTAAACCATGAGTCCAAGCTGAAGAGGAATATTTCCAAAATGAGGTCTACACACACACAGAGGTTACTTTCCCCTTCATTATAGAGATATCGAGAGAGAGAGATGGGTGGGGGGGGGGGGGGAGTGAGTTATAGCCACGAACCTGAATAGCTTAGATGTAGAACTGAGATGCCCATTCATGTCACTTGCCATTTTAATGAATTCCAGGGTTTACAAACATACATATTAACACTTTGGGTAAAAGATCTCTGTATTTGCATAAATTTGTTATTACTATTTATGAAGTAGACCTGTTTCATAATGCTTATGTAGTAGATCAGTCTCATACTCGACCCCACCCCCTTCATATCACAATGTCAATTCCTAAAAACCTGTGGCAAATTATATAAGTTGGTAATAGAGAAAAATTGAATGAGGTAGATGCAATACAAATTGATTCCAATATTAAGCACTTAAGACTTTATTCAGGTATGGCACGTGAACCGCCCAAAAAATTCCAAAAATGCTGCAGTTTTGTTTTATGTTTAAAGAGAACGGTAACAAAGGACCTACATGTTTTTGTATATTTTGGACTGCGCATATTCAGTGATCTCTGTATTATAATATATAGAAATGTAAAGCATATAGAACTTTATGTCAACTCCAGCATATCTGAACGAGCTTTAAAAGACAATCCAACCCTTGTAATAAGTTCATTGAAATGGAAGCTGAAAAATAAGAGAAATAGAAAGGCGAAAGTTTGAAATAAATCGGGCCAATATAAAGGGACTTGTGATAATATATAAATATGAGATCACTAAATCCATGCATATCTCAATGAAATGCTAGAGCGCCGTATGGCAGCCGTGCTAAAGCCAGGGTAATAATCGGGAGCGCCAGGAGGTTCAAATCTGACTGACATGAGCGCTACACAAGAGCCCACTATTATTATTATTATTACACCTGTAGTCATGGGACAACTCTCCCATTTGTTAATGAAATATAATAAATTCTCTTTTTATTATAAGTGCCTTCTCCCTTTGAGAACTACTCAAAATATATTATTAATAGCACATTATTACAGGTCCTCTACATAGAAAAGCCACTCGTGAATCATACATTTTGAAGAAAAAAAATATTTAAATCATTTTGTGTGTTGAAATAAATGGGAAAGTAGTCCAGCAGCTCGTCATACTGACATTACCGATTCAGCCAATTTAAAATGCCCTTAGGTTTAGTGATTACAGCTTTCAACAATCCATAACCACCTTATTTTCTGTCAGATTTAATTTGCTATTTTTTAAAAGTATAGTTGTCTGTTAAGGTTGGATTTCCCTTTAAAAAGTGTAAAGGGTAAGCCCTATGTAACATAATGTGATTAGGCCATTTTCGTTATAAATCAAATCAAAGTGCCGCGGAACAAATTATCTCTTTCACCTATTAAGAATAATTGTATTTCAATAGTCAGAATGCGATATGCAAACATTATGTGTTGTTAGGTAGGGCAAGACATAATGTTTGTCCTACCTATAGTACTAGCAACACGTAATGTATTCAATTTGTATTCTGACTATTTAAATACATTTATTCGTAACAGGTGAATTTAATAATTGGTAATGAGGCACTTAACAAGGACCTACCGTATTCATTAAATTTGATTACAATACGAAAATGACCTATGTACAGTACATGTATTCATATGGATAGGAAATCATCTTTGAACTGTTATATGTCGTTTTCTGAGGGTTTATAATTTTATAAATTCTAAAGGGTTCATAATTCTACAAATGAAGTAGGATTCCTAATTCTGAAAATGAACTAGGATTCGTAATTCCAAAAATGAAATATGGTTCATAATTCAGAAAATTAAATAGGGCTCAATATACTTCCAAAAGTTTATTATTCTGAAAATGCAAATAGAACCCTTTATCCTTTTTGGAATTACGAACCGTCAATATAATGAATCCTATTTCATATTCAAAATAATACCATTTCATTTGCCGAATTATGAACCCTATTTCAATATCGTTATTAACGCCCCTTTTTCAATTCCAGAATTATGCACCATTTATATTTTTCGTAATTATGAAATCTATTTCATTTTTAAATTCAAACCCTTCTTAAATATGGACCATATTTCATTTGTTTATCGATTTGTCATAATTTGTCATAATACACTGTACTATCAAGTTACATTTATTGATGAACAGCATATCACAGCACTTGTCAAAATAGTAAGACCGTAAATGAATTTGTTTTGCTTGTGAATGTAGTAGGCTTATATTATGTAGTACACAATATTACATTTCCAATTGCTGCAACTTCATATCAATCTTTTACATGTACTATGACAATCTACAGGTCAAAATCATGCTTTGCATAATCATTTGTGAATTATTCTCTATTTAATATACATGAATGAAGTACTTAAATTTGTGCAAATGAACTTATTCTCCATGGTGGAAAATTACAAACGAAATTTCTCAGCAAAAACTATTTCTCATTGTTTCTACTCATGATGGCTACCGTAAGATAACTATTGCAAATTGCCAAACCTACTCTTTTAAACATCTACTCCAAATTTTCAAGATTGATTTCTCTTTGTTAAAACTGGCCATAATTTCTAGACAATAATTAGCCAATTTAACATTGTTTTTTTTAATATTTCTTCTTCTGTTGTTGAAATGTGTAAAAAAAAAAAAAAATCCTTTTTCATTTAAGCTGTTAACCTTGCTTTTAAACGTTGATGTCATTGTAATCACTATATGATGTATGATATTCTGACAGAAAATTAAAGGATACACTGTTAAGTGTTAAATATGATAAAGATGACCCAACCTGATTGTGATGTCTTTTGTTAACAGACGTTTGCGAGAGAAATGGCTGAACCTCAAGAAAATAGTTAATTGTGTTGGAAGCAAACTTCATGCCAGCTCCTGTCATTTTCGTGTCTACTTTGCAGACCAGCATGCCCTTTTAAAGTACAAAAAAACAAACAAGGGCTGGCAGATTTTGTGAGGAGTACTGTGTTGGAAGTGCATTGATGTAGTAGAATTTAAACTGATCAAAAAAATGTCAACCATGTAATGTAACCAATGCTGTGGTTCAATTGAGGATTCCTACTTGTCTTCTACTTGTCTCCTACTGGTTCCATTGGGGATTCATACTTGTTTTCTACTGGTCTCCTAATGGTTCCAGTTGGGATTCCTACTGGTCTCCTAATGGTTCCATAAGGGTTTTCCACTGGTCTTCTACTGGTATCCTAATGGTTTCTGTATGGATTCCTACTGGTCTTCTAATGGTTCCAGTTGGGATTCCTACTGGTCTCCTAACGGTTCCATTAGGGTTTTCTACTGGTCTTCTACTGGTATCCTAATGGTTTCTGTATGGATTCCTACTGGTCTCCTAATGGTTCCAGTTGGCATTCCTACTGGTCTCCTAATGGTTCCATTAGGGTTTTCTACTGGTCTTCTACTGGTATCCTAATGATTTCTGTATGGATTCCTACTGGTCTCCTAATGGTTCCAGTTGGGATTCCTACTGGTCTCCTAATGGTTCCATTGGGGTTTTCTACTGGTTTTCTACTGGTATCCTAATGGTTTCTGTATGGATTCCTACTGGTCTCCTAATGGTTCCATGACTTCTTTTTTACTTGTCTAATGGTTCCAGCACTTCTTTTCTACTGGTCTTCTAATGGTTTTTATATCGATTTCTACTGGTCCCCTACTGGTTCCAGTGGGGATTTGTACTTGTTTCCTACTGGTCTCCTAATGGTTCCAGTTGGGATTCCTACTGGTCTCCTAATGGTGCCATTAGGATTTGCTAATGGTCTTCTACTGGTCTTCTGCTGGTTCCAGTACGATTTTTTTTCTACTGGTTTCTAATGGAAAAAGCGCCACTTTCCATATTGAAACCAGTAGAGAATTGACCACTAGAAACCGTTAGAAATCTGTACTGGTTTTCTCTACTGGTTTCTATGGGATTTTCGACCTGGGCAACAGTACAATATGAAACACAATGTATATATAAATTATATATGTAACAACTATTTCAACAATGAATTACTTGTAGTCAGTTATAACTACTGTGCACAACACACATTTACTTTCACAACAATCGCATCTAGCTATTTCCCCCAAATTAACTCTATTGCAATTTTAATACTGTATTGTATGTCCCTTAGAAATCCTGGTAGGATTACGCAATACGTCCTTCAGAATGTTTGCACTTTTCAATAGGTGACGCACAAGGCTATTGAAATGGTCTGAATTTGACTTTTCCCAAGTAATTGCAATCATGCTTTTCGTTCTGAATGTTAATTTTTGGATTAACGTGAATGAATACATATATACATCCATTTTGGAATCGTTATTTCTGCTAATAAACTTGTGTATACATGCACTCGGGGTAAAGTAAAGTTTCAATTTGTGGCCTACACAGCAATTTTTAACCAAACTTGTTCATGAAAATATTATTTTGGACCATTTTGAGATCAGTTGCAAACTGAAGAGCACTTACCTTCAAACATTTGTGCATACTGTGGGAATCCTGTTGCTCTGAGCCATTGGCATGTATCTGCAGCCTCAATTTCTGTAGCAAGACACAAAGAAAAATAAGTAAAATTAAGAAGAAGATCAAGAACAAATTACAATAGTTGAACAGATAATTCATTGATTTCAAGTCTAAATATTCAACGAACAAGAACAAATTTCCCAATCTTATCTGTGAGTGTTAGCTGAAAAAAATGATGACAATACATGATTTTTTGGGGTAATGAATAAACTGTTGTTTATTATCATTTGCAAAATATTCAATGAAAATCGTAATATAAAACAAATGTTTATTGGGAGGCCAAGACGTACTGAAGACAATGTAGTTCACATGATTGAGTAAATACAGAAGATTGATTAAAATGTCAGTATTTATTCAATGAATCACAGAATAAATACTGAGAAAGAAGAGTCGACAGGCAGCAAGAACATACTTCAAATTAGCTAATCCTTTGCAAAATATTCAATGAAAATCATATAAAACAAATGTCTATTAGGGACATACTGAAGACAATCTAGTTCACATGATTGAACAAATACAGAGGAATGAATAAAATGTCAGTATTTATTCAATGAATCACTGAATAAACAAGGAGAAAGAAGAGTCAACAGGCAGCAAGAATTTACATACTTCAAATTAGCTAGCCTTTTTAATCACTATTGCTAATGTGATTCCCAAAGGCCCTCACTGTATGTAGACATTATGCAGACAGGTTATTGAATGATACAAGTCAACTACCTCTTATTTTAAAATTGACCAGCCTTCGATTAAGTCCTGTTGGACATTTGAGGAGCGCAGCTTCGAGAAAGAGAGCCACTCGACTGGGCTCGTGTCCTTCAGTGTAGAGAGCCATCACAAAGTCTTACAAACTTTCCAAGCTTTTAGAGAATACATTCAAAGAAAAACAACCACTATTTATCTTTCTCCCCCAAAAGGAGTAAATATTCCTTCAGTTCTTGAGAGACTTCTCTGTCTTCAAGCATCACTTCTTCCTTAAAATAGTCCTTTGCTTTCAAAACTTTCTTTGCTCGCAGGCCACTAGAGTGAAGCTAAATAGGGGCTTGTCTTCTGCTCTGTTGACATGATATCCGAACGGATGAAAGAAACGTTTGGGACCATGCATAGAAATAGACGTCCTTCTCTGTTTTGTTCGCTTCTTTTTACGATGCACATCTTGAGCAATATCTCCTCTACAAAATGGCCTTATGTCTACTGGAGGCCATTTTTTTTTATAATGCAGACGATTATTCAAATGAATTACAATATCTGCTAGTCTGCTTTAGACCATCCATGCACTTTGTTAGTTAGAAATCTGGCTAGTCGCAACATGGAACATTTTAATAGTTCAAAGAGCTGGAAAATGGTATTGAATCCTGTACAAAATGTACTTGCAGGTACTTGAAGAGTCCATGCACATAGTCGCATACACAAGATAAAAATTAAGCAAAGGAACGATTTTCAATATGAATCCAGGGATCCAGTCACCAAGTTGGTTCAGTCAAGGAATTGGTCCATGCTATTTCAAACATGTTCGCGCCAAACTTGAACCGAGCACGTTGCTAGTCCTGCAAAACGGTAAGCGTCATTAGGCTATTTGGGTTAGGTTGTAGAAGCAGCCACACGCTTCCCCCATCCCTTGGTCTCAAGCTAAAACCGTCGCTTCCTGGCTGCTACAGTTTTAACTCTTGTAAACAGTGAGCAAGACATTTTAATCCTGACAGCAAACACTTCACTTCATATCTATCTTTCCTCCGTGACTATGCAGGACCAGAAACAAGACAGTATGTTGTCGATATCAGGGTCTATTTGACAGGCAGGCAACCAACACGGTCTTATCTCGTCCGTCCCTCCCAGAGTCGTCCCCCTGTAAATGGATCCTCAGCTATGGACCCACACTGCAGTAACTATAGCTGCCATCCAAGAATGGAACAACAAGCCTTGCTAATTAGTCCCAGAGTAAATTAACAAACAATAGTCCTGCTTGTTGGTGCCATTGCTGAGCGAAGTAACCAGGGATATCGAGTGATCCAAGATAATTATCGTCCTTGTCGTCACTGCCTGCAACAATGGCTCTCCGTCGGTCCGTTCAATCTCCTATTAATAACCTGGTGTATGTATGGCAATGAATATTCAATGCAGCTGGAGAAGTCATGCACTTCAGTTCCTGTTATGTAATCAGAAAGCCATCAAGAGGGTCATCAAATTTTTATGACATGACCGGAGAGAGAGAATTTCAAAGGTTCTTGATTTCTTACGTAGTACATGAACAAACAAGCGAGCTAGCTGAAGAGCATGGGTAGTATTGTGCCAGATTCGCGCCAATCCTGAACGGCATGAACCGTGTCAGCTTTTATTGACTCTGACGCCAAGTGCAACGTGCAATGAGAGGATATTTTGATTGCCACAAACTTCACACTATCAACAATAACCGGGAAAAATAACAGAAAGATAAATAATGGCAGAGCCACACATTCATGGGAAGAGAGGGTGAGAGACAGAAAGAGAGACAGGGCAATAGACCAACCTTTAGTGTTCCGAATCGTATCATTATGAATCACAAGGTCGGTGAACGACTGGAAATGTTATGGGTTGGAACTTGAAGTACTAACAAAACACCTCTTTCATCATCGACCAGTATTCCAAGCCACTCTACAAAACTACATATAAGGGTGGGCCAGTCTCTTATGTTCCTTTCCGTTACACAAACATGAACCACCACATTCTTTTGATGCGTGGTTACTGTCAGGTCATCACATGATCAAGTTAAATTAGGGGGTACCAGCTCAAATGGCTAACAAGTCAGCCACAAATTTCTCATTGTCGGAAAGAAAATAGGCCATCTGATTTTAAATTTAAGTTTTCATTTTTTTTCATCCAAAAAAGCAAGCAAACTGCCTCCACCCCTTATCTCCTACAATGCTTTTTACATATAAATCAACCTTAAAAAAAACTAAGCTCTATTCAAATTTTCAATTACATGAATCTCAATAAGGTAACATTATATGATGTTCATGTGGCTTCCAACAAATTCAGGTGGGGGTAAGCAACTTTACCCCCAGTTCTAGGTTCCTGACTTCCTGTCAGCCTACATTCTGAGCATTGACATGATGAATGTAGGCTTGCATTCTTCAGGTCCTGTTTCTGCCAAAGTCTTGACGTAAAGGCGAAAGATGGTGCCATATCTCGCAGCTGAATGATATCTGTCAGTCATCCGCTAACCACAAGTTTGTGGGCAAACCCCATTGCCCTTGGGTCAAGTTTGAATACATGTCAGCAGACATGACTCTTGTTTGATCAAACTTTTTCTTTGAATACCATACTTGGCAAAAAATTGATTGTAAAGGTGACACGGTATGTCAGTCTGATGAGAGGCAGAACTTTAGAAGAGAGGTGAACTTTTGCTCAATGAGAGGTAGTGCCCTTCTGGCTCTGAACAGATGATTTTATTCTTTAAATAAGAATTTAAAGCCTGTCTGCACTAGTTTGGCCAGGGGGATTAGACCTCCCTGAAAAGTAACTGACAGGTTATCTCATCAAATCAGCTCTAAATTAACATGAGAAAAGGGGATCATGTGGGACCAACAGGCACTGCTTAGGCATTGTTTTAGAGGGAGGATGTAGCTTCAAGTAGTAAGTAGGGCTTAAAATAAGAATTCAAATCAAATCATCATAGGCAGGGGCATTTTAGAATCTGAATTCATTGCCTTGTGTACGCTACAATGTCGAGAAAGGCAGAGTGCTGTTACTACAGTACCATTTAAAATACATACCAGTAATGTAGCTCTTACATCCTTATTGCATTTACAGTTATCCTACAATGCATGTTATGATGAGAACCAGAAGGTCTTTGACCTCACACTAGCAGCATTTAAAGGGATCCGGTAAGTTTGTCTCAGATTCTGAAACAAAATCCTGGATTTAGCTCATGCTGCAATGATAATTATAAACCTTTAGGTCAGTCAGGAACCCCATGACTTTTACAGGCCGATCGCCTGTCTGATTATCGAGATAGTTATGATTGGAATTACAAATTTTGAAAACTGTTTGCCAAACGGTTTCCATAACACTACAGTCTATTGGGAAAAACGAGTATGGTATAACCGGTCACTCAAAGATTTTTACTTTTTTGAGGCACTTCTTGATCATTTTGAAGCACAATTTTTTTTGGGCTTTAATATTGCACCATTTCACAGACACTGACAACACGTAGAGCCGTGAATCTCAGACTTAACATTGTTACACGATCCCTTTATACCACAAGCCAAAAAACATTGTTTTTCTCACATTCTACAGTTTTGTTGGAAGTTGCTTGGCAACTATCCATAAACACACAAAACAAAACAAAAATCGAAAAAGCCCACCTCTGCAGAGACCTTTTGTTTTTCTAAAAAAACTCCTCTGCATGTAATTAAAACAATGGCAAGTGACCTTCATCCTAAAACAGGAAACATTTTGTGTACTCTAGTAGATAATCACCTTTATTTAATAAGCGACCCTGTACTACATCGTGTAGTTATTTACATGTACATGTAAATGGGGTCGTGGGTAGGAACCTATTCGGCACTTTGTTCACGTTATTAAAAGTGCTAACGGAAGTTCAAAGAGAAGAGCCTTGTTTATGAAAGGAAAATGTGGGGTACAGAAGGCCACAGTGGATTAGCGGAAAACAAAATAACTTTGTAGGTTTGTTTTTTTCTCTCTCGCCAAAAGGCTAAAGATGCTTCAAGCAAAGTGACACTTTTATGTCCAAAATCTAGAAGGCAAAATGGTTTACTGAATAAATAATAAATAATAACTCTGGATTTATATAGAATTTAATGAAGAATGCTAGTCTCTAGATGCTTTACAGATATTATTATAACTAACTGTTTTTTCCACAGTCAGGCATCAGTGACTGTCATTAACATGACCGAATGCACTTTCCATCTTTTTCAATATCATTCCCTTGAGAAATTAATAAATTGTGACTTCTTTCATTTTCTTTTGTCTTAAGACCAATCGGTCATGGATAAAGCCATAAAAACCATCGTCACTGTGAA